TTTGCTACGAAATTTACAAAGATTCACGATAGACTCTGCAAGTATAACATTCAACATGAAATTTTATTTGATTTTGAAGTAGCAAAAATTGTATTACAGCAAAAACAAAGTCCAGCATTATCGTCTTTACAAACTATCACTTGTTATATTTTTTCCCTTCACTGAAGGAAAAGAATATGATTGCTGCCATTATTGTCAAAGCAAATGCAAAAAAAAGTAAAATTACTATTTTTTTTTACTGTGTGCCCACCACAATCTTTATATTTCGATGTTTCTAGAAAATCAGCGCATCTCCAAACACGACTTCTCTCATAAAACATACAACCATCAATCCAAACTGAATGCCAAAGTGTTACAGCAAACGAAATTATTTCAATGATTGGACCAATCAAGAAGCATCTTTGAAAAAAAAAAATCATAACAAATAGCCTCACAATCACCAGTACTGATATACATGTATAAAGAAAGTGAAACTTCCATTTTTCTTGAATTCAACAAAAAATAATTCGTATTCGCTACGACCAACAAAAACTAGAATGTAAGAAAAGGCAAAGTTGTCAAAACTCAATTTGCCAAAAATTGTACAAAAAAAATCACTTAAATTAAAGTTAATTTGATTATGAATGCAGCTGGAACTATTTCATAATCAAAGAATTCATTGCTATAAATAACTGAGTAATTTGTATATATTTCAGCATTTTTTTCTGTCTTCTACATTTGAAGCACCATTTAAGTTTGTCTTTTTTTCTAGCTGCAAACTTTGTATGTGGCTTATCAAGGTGCGCTTTTAGAACCATTAAAAAAGTCTACAAATTTAGTGTACAGTTAGAGTATAATCGTCACTGCTTTAATACTTTCAATTGAGGCATGGATACCAGGGAAACCCATAGATATTTACATGAACTGGTTGGTACCAGGAAACTAAGGCTTTGTAAAGTTGTATGGCTAGGGCTAGAAGTGACACACATTTCCATAGGTGCATGTGTGATTGCAAAGCCATAGTCTCTTAATTTGGACGCAGCCTGAAGCTCAGCTGGTATCCCAGTTACAGACTGGTTCCCGACCTCAATATAATTATCATACAAACCACCGGTGCCCTGACAAACAAAACAAATGAGCACTAGCTGGTTCCCTGCACCAGTTGAAGCAATCAATCCAATGTCCTACTACAAAGTCTACTTGTTCGCTTCCAAGATAAAGCAGCACCTTCTACGACGAGAGAAAAAAACTTCTCAAATTTATGGTGGAAAAAAAAAGCAAGTTCATTAAACCCGTTCTCTGGACCAGCCAGATACTTGAAGAAATTGGGAGTCGCAAAAATTCTGTATTAAAGTACCGTTCAACGTATTACCTGTATAAAGTTTTACATGACACGACTTGGGAAAAACATGGACAAGACCCTAGTTTGTTTATGAAAGGATGATTGTCACAAATAAACTGTCAATCACAAACTGAGCACACAACTCTGCTCACAGACGACATACGTCACATTTTAACAATTTGACACACCGGGCATTCTTGATTTATACAAGAAACTTGTATTACATTCAATTATGGAAGCTTGGTATTTTTTCAAAATAGGAACAAGATGTTGGAAATTACAAAACACATACAGAGTAGGGCATAGAAAATAGTCAACACTTCAAAATGACACACATGTACCATATTTCACAACCCTTCATGCATTCAAATCTGTACTGGCGATTTGTGCTAATACCACAAATACCAGATTTTAAAGCTATAGTCCATCATTTGCAGCCATCCGAAAAAGTAACTGGCGTATTATTGTTGAAAAACATACTTGGTTGAAAGATAGTAAGTGGACTAAACTCCCTGTGAAATTAATCTTTCTGGCAAGCTATCATTTTGAAGTAATCAACAAAAGGAGGCCTTTCCAACGGTGCGTCTTAAGACGCACCGTAGGAAAATTTAAATTAGTAGTTCGTTTTGTTATTCGGCGCAGCGCGCGCAAGCATTGGCACGACGCACAGGCGCGCGCGGTTGCTATAATTCGTCGGATCAGTGCGCGACATCGCGTATAGCTGCAATTCAAAACAATTCAAAACATGATTCAGCAACTTTTGATTTGAAATTGAGATCCTAGAATGCTGTTTTTCTCGGAATATACAGCTGAAGCTGAGCTGAAACTCCATCAGGTTAGTTGTTCAGTATCCTTCATTAGATTTTGAACACTTTTGTTGCTTCAAACGAACAAAATGCACAAACTACAAATGATGGACTATATCTTTAAATGTTTTTGAGTATAGCACTCACATGTTACTATTTTTTTAAGCAAGTGGGGTATATGCAAAGGGGCGAATCCAGAGGGGGGGGGGGGGGCGAAACACCCCCTCTGCTCTGACACCAAGTAACAATATGCTGCATTTGGTACATCTGCCTGTCGGCAACAATCGGACATAAAAAAAATCTGACAGGCCTGAACCCCCCCCCCCCCTCCCCGCAAAAATTCCTGCATCAGCCCCTGACGCAGTTTGATAAACATGTACCAGGAATTAGGTAAAACATGTTTTGACACTTAAATCAAACTCCACTTTTTTTGGCAACAAAAGTAGTGTCTTAAGCAGCGAAGAATAACATGACGTGAAGTGTGATCATAAAAATGTGAAGCTGAAGACGATGATTTGAGTTAGGGTAGGGGAGGGGTTTGGGTGACGGTTAGGGAGGGGGGGGGGGAAACAAAACTTTCACTTGCCTTTCACATGAAATTTCAAGGGTATCAATGAAATGTTGCCGCTCATTACAAAATTGTTCCAAATACACGTAGCAAATTATAATACATGTTCGTAAGAACATACAATGTACACAAATAACAGTCCCCAAAAAAGTCACAAATAGGGGAAAAAGAAAGAACCATGACTTAATAACAGCCAAAGGTACACTGAAAATACATTTTCACTATTAATGCTATGACAGACAACAATATGGGTCCTTCTATAAATTTAGTGTCAAAAGTGTGAATTTTTTTTTCCTGTCCCTGTTAATTCTGAACTTGTGGGTCTCCTATATCCTACATGTAGGTCCTTCCTCTACTGACACTGCAACCCTACTGTTCCACTTCAGTGGGCACCAAGCTTGTTCTAGGATCCTGTCTACTTGGCATCCTCACAGGATGCAACTTCACACTTCATCGATTTCGCTTTTACTACTTAAGTGTTTACTTTCTTAGAGTTTAGGCACTCTCCTGAAGACGGTCAGAGCATACTGACCGGAACGTTGAGTTTATACCTCTGGTTCTTTTCAGAACCATTCTCTTAGTTGAAAAATTATTTGCACATGGTGTTTCCGCAAACCTTTCATTCATTAGTATCTCCACCATGCAAAGGCTCAAATCTTACTTAACTCAGAACTTTGTCATTTGCCATTCAAGTATCATTAAGAATGACATTAAACAAGTTTTTATTAGTTGGGTATGTAGTTTGCTATTCATAATCACTCTTGGAGGATGACTGCATTAAACTCTTTAGGCATTTTTGCTAGGATGCAACCTCAATCCTGCAAAATCCTCCAACTGCCTCCATGTAAAAATTGCATACAGCCTCAATCCTCCAAAATTCATCCGTTACTTCTCGAATGTGGTCCTTGGAGGGGTGACCACTGCCTCAATCCTGCAAAACCCTCCAGCAGTCACTGTCGATATGTCGAGGCAGAGCCAGTGACATCCTGGAGCAGTGCGGAGGATTTCAAATATAATCTAGGCCTAAATTTGTGCACGGCTGAGCTTTAACAACACAAGGTCCGGCCTAAGACCTTGACACGGTGCATCCCCAGAATTATAAAAAACAAAGATGCCAGATGAAACAGGGACAGGGAAAAAAGTGGACCCCATATTTACAGAATTACCCATGTCCAAATAAGCCCTGTACACATAACAGCAAAGAGACTTTCTGCAATACAACATCCAATTAGACTCATATCTTTTGACTGTAGAAAAAAAAAGAATCCAATCATTTTGGCCACACTATAAATTCACTCATTTTTTTCACTAAATGCAATTCATATGAATTTTTTTGTACAAGTAACAAAAGTTCGCTCTGCAAGGCACCAGGCCTGTATTTCAATTTATGTACATAGTTGGCAACTGAAGCCATATTCGTTCCAACAAATTTATTCTAAAGAAAAAAAAAATCAGTACTTTTTAAAGAAAAGGACTTCTTGTCAAACATGTAAAAAACTGTTCATTTCTTCAAAACTAATCATTTTTTAAGCTAAAACTGAACTGTGATGTGCTCTTGTAAATTGCGCCCCTGCCTGACTTTTCAAGGCTTGCCCTTGTATAAAAAAAAAATACAAAATATATTTTAAAAATCTTTTATCTAAAGTCTTGAAGTTCTTGCAATCAAGGCTCGTGATAGTACTTAAAATAATCTCTAAAGAAACTTGAGGTATATTTTTTGAAAGAAAATACATCCTTTCTTTAAGCTTCAAAATGTAGTCCCAAAAAAGTTAAAAGTTAGGCTGATATGAGTAGGCTTTGCTTTCATCAAAATTGTCATAAAAAATCGTTGAAACTATTTATTCTACTTTTACAACAGTTATATTTTGTAATCAAAATGACAGATGCGCCATTTGTCCGTAATACAATCAATAAAACTGAAAACAAAATACTTCTGAGTCAAGATGCTAACTTCTTTGATGCGAGACGGACAAGGTGGAGGAGTTTGTAATCTGATGCGATCAAGTTTAACCAAATCGGTGCGATTCGAGAAAGCCTAAACCTTTTACCGATAAACTGAACATCCTCTATGGATGTTTGGTATATTTTTAAGATGATAGTGAACTTTAGAACTTCTTAAATTACTTGCTTATGGCCTTTACATCAGACGTTCTGGCAAAAATACAAATCAAAGGATTTTAAAAGCAAGAGAGTAAAATTTTCAGCAGATATGGGCTCCGTGGCGTGCACAAGTACCCATTCAAAGGCCAAAGAAGGAGAGTTGGGGGTGACCTAGACTGGTTCCCGGTGCATCCACTGTGTATTTCGAATGATCCAAAGTTATTGGGGGCGGGGATTAGTCTGTCTGGGAGACCATCGCAAGTGAAAATTCGAATGCATTCACGCACCGACGACGCCTGACGCTCACGCAAAGACGCTGTGGCTAACAGCTTTGGCACATTCAGGAAGTCGTGCGTACTTCGCGTGCGAACCAGCACAGTACGGTACGCACACGCTGTGTGTCTCGTCCACGGGCTCTCAAAAGTGGTAAAAAGCGCCCTCATTTGTATGCGCATGGAGCAAATACCGGCTAATTACAGGCAATGATTTGAAGCTAAAAATAAAACAAAAAGAACTAATATGATGAAAAAAAAATTAAAAAATCCTTGAGGACGAACCTTCTTTTGTCTTTGCTCAAGTATCACAATAAGAAACTTTGACAGGATTTCCCCGATGTCATCAGTAGTCACCGTCAAACTACAACAAAACTGAGGAAGCTCAACTTGCCTAGTACTGGCTGTAAGCGTACTTGCGGTCCAGCTTAGGGTGGGCGCGTGCCATCCCCGCGCCCCCCTGTACGCCCCCCATCCCACCCACGGCAGACCCTCCCGGTACCCCCTGCTGCACCGGCTGCTGCATGGGGGCCAACCGCGACATGGAGCCCGCGGGCGACACGGGCGTGGAACCTCCCGTCGGGGGCCACATGGGGGGCTGGCGTAAGGTCACCGGGTCGCTCCATTGCGGGGTCAGGGGTGGATGGACTAAGAGTTGCTCCTGAGGGGGGAGGGGGTAAGGCCCGGGGGTCGGGGTAGCACCGTCGTTAGGGGAGACGGGTCGTTGCCATAGGACCTTGGGCGGCCAGGTTTTGGTGGATTTCGGCTCCTGTCATAAAACAAAACAAAAACAAAAATATACGAACTTAAACAAAAAGAAGTAATTTGGTGAAGTTAATTTACACTCATTTCTGGCATTTCAAAGCTGTGCTGAACCATATTTATAATTTGAATATTGAATAAGTATATAAAACCGTTTGAAACAGTTAGGAGTGACAACTTCGAAAAAATGACTATTGTTAACAGTTTGAAACAAGTGTTAAGCTATGCACGGTTAAAGAATTTCATTTCCATCAAATTCTGGAGTAAATAACGATTCCTTTTTGGCAGGTCAGTTGGACAAACCGGGGCATAAAGGGGCTAGGTCACACATTGATTTGATGGTGCGACCATTACTTGTATTTCTGGTGCTTCCCCAGAAAGATCTGATTTACAAGACTGTACAGAAATATACAACTTGACAACTTAAACCAACAAGCACACGATAAGAATTTATTACTTATTAACCCTAACCCTGCTCAATCCAACAGGATCCAACTATATCATATACCCAATGGAGCCTGTTGGATTGGGCAGTAAACCCCTTGTTTATATTCCTGTTGGAATATGTTGGATTCAGCAGGCAACCGAAAACATTCAGAATCGGATTCTGTTGGGTACTGGTAAATAACGCCAAGTTGGACTCTGTTGGATCCAGCAGACAACAGAAACATAAGGCACAGTTGGATTCTGTTGGATTGAGCATGCCAGTCATTTTAGATTTTCAGGTACCCAACAACTTGGCGAGTTGGGTTGCATGGGACTGTGTTGGATTGAGCAGGAAACTCATACGAGTATAAACCGTCGGATTCTCTTGGATTTAGCAGGGTAGCCCTGGGGAACAACTAGGGGATTAGGGTTTTAATTAAGGGAAGGTACCGGGGTCAACTTTTGAACACCGGCTAAGAAGCCTCTTGGACTGAGGTTGCTGGAATGCAGCTTACCATCTGTGCAACTTCCAGGTACTTCATTGCCGCCTGCCCCGTTGGATCAAAGCTCCGCCCATGATGAATGACCTCCTCCCCTCCGCTACTGTGCCTCCTGTATCAATAAACCCAACAAATTCAACATGATGATCCTGTGAACGATGTCCAACCGGGGGTTGCGAACCATCAAGTCCGTACCAGCAAACTAACTTTTTTTATCTGCAGTCTATCCTGCAACATGACAGTTAGCCATGTCCAAATTTCTTGGCTATGGCTAGCGAAAACACATGTGTCTATGGGAAGCGGCTGTAGTCGCTTCCCATAGACACGTGTGTACATGCCAGCCATCGCCAAGTCATTTGAACACAGCCTTAGGCCGTTTCCAAAGTTTTGGCTACGGCTTGAAATTACACACCGGTCTATGGGTAGTGGCTGCAGCGGCTACCATAGACCCGTGTGTAATTTCAAGCCGCAGCCACGTAATTCAGACACAGCCCTAGTTTATAAAGTAAGTAAGTAAGTTTATGTCCAATTTGCCTATATTGTGGCAATGGTTGAAGCTTTGGAAACTGCAGCACTACAGTAAATCATCATAAGACAAGATAAGTTTGCGGTAGCACCATGTGAATGAATCTCTTTTGTGAGTATGTGTGGTTCTGAAAAGAACCAGGGGGACTCAACGTTTCGAACAGTATGCTCTGCCCGTCGTCAGGAGAATGAGGGATTCCAACGATGATATGATGTTATAAGGATGGGTGCGGTGAGGCCTGAGAAGGATGCAAACTGGTGAAGCTCGAAACCGGTGAAGCTGAGAAGGATGCAAGTTGACTGAGGAATGCTGGATGATTACTGGAGCGTGTCAGTACACAGTGAGGGGGCAAAGGGGAAGGAGCTCAGGGTATAGGTGACCCATAGGCGAGAACTACACATACTCACAAAAGAGATTTATTCACATGGTGCTACCGCAAACTTATCTTGTCTTAGTATCTTTCCACCATGCAAACCTTCAAATCTCAGTAAATCATCATATCTGCAAACCAAAATGCCCATTTTAGACACGCTCTGAATAAATGACTTCCACATGTGAGACTTTATGAGGTGTGTACCCACTGGTTTGTCAATGTGAATACAGGGTGTTTCAAAAAAAAGGAAACCCAACTTCAAAGAATGAGTATGGACAGACGATATGTTTACTGGCTATAAAACTGGTATCATCTGAAAGCGTAATTTCTATGCTTTTCAATGCTACTATGTTTAGGTTTTCTGAGTCATGCATCACTGAGCGTCATTGTCTTGAAAACTGGATGCAAAAATGCAGTTGGTTCACTTTCATGAAAAAAAAACACACCACTGGGCACGGTGTGCCTATTGTTACGGCAATGTCTGTGAAATGGCTTGAATGTTAATCCTCTGGAAAATGGCACATTGTTTTGAACGTGGCTTGGTCAAAACGAGAATTCATGACAAACAATAAAATCCAGTTTTGAAACCAACCCAACTTGTTTTTTGGTTTCATTTTATGCACTCGTGTCTTCTTCTTGAATACTTATTCTCATGCACACCATGCCTATTGTGTTTGACATGAAAGTGAACCAACTGCAATTTTGCATCAAAATCTCATGACAATGGCGCTCAGTGATGCATGACCCTGGAAATGTAAACAAGGTATCATTGAAAAGCATACAGATTACGCTTTCAGATGATACCAGTTTTATAGCCAGTAAACATTTAGTCTGTCCATACTGGTTCTTCAAAGTTGGGTTTCCTTTTTATTGAAACACCCTGTAGAACACACTGCTTGCACCAAACTTCCTTCTGATATCAATATCCCTGAAATGTGTTGGACTTTATGAGTAGTCAACCAAACTTTTGCAATTCAGTTTTGCCTACCTTCTGTTGACGGAAGCGACAAAGTTGGGCCCAGTCAGCCCCAGCCCCATGGAGAATGCTGTGTCGCCGTTCTCTCCCGATTCATCGCTGGAGCTACCGGAATCGTGCTGGCCTGAAAAGCTGTGGCTCAGGTGCTCTGCACCACTAAAACAAAAAAACCAAATTATAAAATTAATCAAATTTGGGTCACAAAGACCTTTCAAATGTTAGAACTATGATGAAAAATCTCAGGAGAACAGGGGCTATCATCATTGTGCTGCTTAGAAGCATATAGGACCATCTGCATTTTTCCAAATATGGACCAACCAAATTATTATGCAAAGAGCTTACTTGGTACTTAAAGCTATAGTCCATCATTTGCAGCCATCCGAAAAAGTAACTGGCGTATTATTGTTGAAAAACATACTTGGTTGAAAGATAGTAAGTGGACTAAACTCCCTGTGAAATTATTCTTTCTGGCAAGCTATCATTTTGAAGTAATCAACGAAAGAAGGCTTTTCCAACGGTGTGTCTTAAGACGCACCGTAGGAAAATTTAAATTAGTAGTTCGTTTTGTTATTCGGCGCAGCGCGCGCAAGCATAAGCACGACGCACACACGCGCGCGGTTGCTATAATTCGTCGGATCAGTGCGCGACATTGCGTATAGCTGCAATCGGCTCAGTGAGAACGCGTCTCGGATGCTGAATTCAGGCCCAATTCAAAGCATGATTCAGCAACTTTTGATTTGAAATTGAGATCCTAGAATGCTGTTTTTCTCGAAATATACAGCTGAAGCTGAGCTGAAACTTCATCAGGTTAGTTGTTCAGTATCCTTCATTAGATATTGAACACTTTTGTTGCTTCAAACGAACAAAATGCACAAATTACAAATGATGGACTATATCTTTAAAAGCATATAGGATCATCTGCATTTATCAAAATATTGACCTACCAACTTATTACGCAAAGAGCTTACTTGGTACTTAACATCCCGTGAAATTATTCCGTTTTGGCTTGCTGTGGTTCAGAAGAAATAAAAAAAATGTAGGAGATTTCAGTCCAAAAAACTGATTTTTGGAATAAAGAGTGCTATTGACAAAATCCTGTTTCATGATCAGAAGGTTGTGCATGGATTATCATTACTTTCTCGAAAAGTGCAATATCCACGGAGCTGAGACTTCAACAGGTTAGGTTTTGAACATTTTTCTTTGGCTTTCGAGTGGCGTTGTTATTGGAAACCAACAAAATGCATGAAAAGCAAATGAGCCTACATGCCTTTTAACAGTTAGCAGAAAATTGTGTTAACCTTATTAAAGGGAATATACAACATTTGCAAACATTGGAAAACAAAACTACCAAATTTTTACGAAATAGCTGACTAGGATGTCGGTAAAAGAAAGTCTGTAAAATTATGGCACCTGGTGTGAAGTCGTTTTCAAGAAAAGTGGTATTTTGTATAAGTTTCCAACGGTGGTCAGCCGACCACCGTTGGAAAAACCTAACTATTTTTCAACTACTGCTCCAAATTTACCATTTTGTGTTCAGTCCAAATTTTGTTTGCTATTGGTTACATGTTCATGAACGAGTGCAGGCCAGCTAGACTAGTTCCCTTACCTTACAATTTTCCGGCATCTATAAATTGATCCATTTCATCTTTAGTGGAGTCAGGGAACCAGACTACTTGAACATTTTTGTTTTTCTTGGTTTTTCCAGCATCCTCGAACACAAAACTTCAAACTTGTCAGTGTAACAATATTTGATCTATTATACTAACCCCTCAAATAGTTCATTTCTGAAAATTACAGCAAAAGCCAATGATGTACATTCCCTTGAAGCACAATTTCACGCCATGAATGTATGAACCGTTGCGCCTGCATGAGGATGTATGCCATGTGTCCCTCGGATCTTAAAAACTGCCGTGTCCCACATTCAAGCAGTCGACAGTTGTACGCTGATCAAGCCAAGTCTGAATGATATGGCTATGGCTATGGAAGCCTCTGAATCCATTTCCCCATAGGCACGTGTGTTACAATGAGCCGCAGCCAAGTAGTTTAGATGCGGCCTTACCTATCTGATGTTCCCTCGGGCGGAGGCGGCCATGTTTGATTCAGCCTGCTGTCTGGGTATCCCCACTGGTCCCCGACCATGTTCAGATCCTTAGCGTAGCCCTTCGTCCTCTTCCCCAAGAAGTTCGTAGCGATGTACTTGGCAAACTCCTCATCCGTGCTGGAGTTGTCGTACATGGACACGATGTCACGCTCGGCGTCGTGGTTGCCGTACGACTCGTGTCGGTGTAAGGGCTGCACGGGATGCTGCTGGGGACCAGTTTGGCAGGGCACCGGGTTGGACCAGGCCCGGGAGACGGCTACGATGTTGTGTGTCGTCAAGGGGATCTCCCCCACCCGGTCTTGGGCCTCCGCCTCTTGGAAGGTGGGGTTGAAATTGCCGAATTTAGCCGGGTTGGGGTCCATGCCCCCTCCCCCTCCACCGCCTGGCCAGGTCCCGCCCACCGCGCTGCGGTTACTCCCGCTGCTGGAGCTGGACGAAGGCGTGGTGTTCTGGGTCGACCGCTGGGATTGGCCGAAGGTATCCAGGTGTTGACCAATCACAGTCTGCGGAGGCCTGGTGACCCCCGATAAGAGGTCAACGATATCTTGGACCTCTGCATCTGATGCAAACCCCTTCTTTGGTGTTTTGACAGGACCTGTGTAATGAAATCAAAAAGAATTCCATTTCTTTCAGAAATATGCAAAACAACTGAAGAAAATTTTAAATCAATGTTAATCCTTTGAGCTTCAGATACATTTCTGAACCACCCATTGTTGCATTCCTCCAAACTGATGACATGACAATTGACCCCTCCCATAGACATATATCTTCGCAGGAAAATTACAACTGGGTTATCAACGCCATCAGGTGCGTGTACGCCCAGTGTGCAAAATGTTCTAATGACGTGCGCATGTTGCTCCAAATTTCTTCAAAATACGGCACAGCCGATACGCGTCAAATTTGATTCCCAAAATGCCAATGCACGTGACAATCTGTAGGCGGTGACGCCATTTGAGAGATATACAATTGTTTATTACATATTCACTCAAATCGTCACATGTGGCTGAAGTGCAACCTGATTTCTGGTTATTGTTTTGGCATAATTTGCTTCTCAGGTACTAGTTTAACTTTGTGAATAAAAGTTGTTTTTTCCCGTGTTCAAGTCCCCAGCTTCTGGTTCTATGTCTGGAATTTAAATTCTAGTTCTAAAATTTAATTTCTAGTTCTTAGGTTTTGGTTATAGTTCTTAGGTTTTGGTTCTAGATCTTAGGTTTTGGTTATAGTTCTTAGGTTTTGGCTCTAGTTGTCAGGTATTGGCTCTAGTTCTTAAATTTTGGCTCTAGTTCTTAGGTTTTGGTTGTAGTTCTTAGGTTTTGGCTCTAGTTCTTAGGTTTTGGCTCTAGTTCTTCGGTTTTGGCTCTAGTTCTTAGGTTTTGGTTCCAGTTCTTAGGTTTTGGTTCCAGTTCTTAGGTTTTGGTTCTAGTTCTTAGGTTTTGGTTCTAGTTCTTAGGTTTTGGTTCTAGTTCTTAGGTTTTGGTTCTAGTTCTTAGGTTTTGGTTCTAGTTCTTAGGTTTTGGCTCTAGTTCTTAGGTTTTGGCCCTGGTTCTTAGGTTTTGGTTCTAGTTCTTAGGTTTGGGCTCTAGTTCTTAGGTTTTGGTTCCAGTTCTTAGGTTCAACTCCAGGTCCTAATTATAGTTCCTGGTTTCTAGATACCCTCCCCCTCATACCTTTGTAGCCAACCACGTTCTTATTCCAAGAAACCTGCTCCTCCGTTGGGCTAGGGTGGGATGTGATGGTCACCGTAGGGCTGATCATCGCCGGGCGTGGCATCACCGAGGGGACGGTATCCTTGGCAACCTCTCTCTTCGGGGTGCTGCAGCTCACCGGCCCCTTCAAAGTGAACAATGAATTCTTTACACTTAACAAAGAAGACTACAGTAGGGTTCACACCTGCCACGTACCAAACTGAGCTACACATTATTCCCGAAGGTTGCGGGTTCAAATCCCGTTCAAGCCTGTAACATTTTTGTTCACAGAGAAAATTGTTATTAACTTAAAAGACTTAATTGCAGTACACCTCATAAACTGTGGGGAGTGTGGCCACGTGGATAGGGTTCGTGACTCATGATCAGAGGGCCAGGGGTTCGAATCCAGCTGTTGGCCACATGTTGTGTCCTTGGGCAAGCCACTTCACCCCCACTTGCCTCTCTCCACCCAGGAGTATAAATGGGTACGGGCATAATTAGCTGGGGAGTAACCTACGATGAGTAGCATCCCATCCAGGGGGGAGTAGAAATTTTCTGTCATTTCATGCCAAGGAAAGGGGCTATAAACATCAGCCTGATGGGCTATATTGGATTGTGACAAACTTTACTACTATCTCATAAACGATGGCCTTTATTCAAGTCTGTTGACAATTTATGTGAAGCTGGTTTATCAGCTTCAGCCCGGAGACTATGGTTCCCAAGCTGATGAAAAAACTGCCAACTTTTTTCCAGAAAAAGTTTTTTTCCCAGAACTTACTTTATGCTGAGCAAGATGCGGCTCCTCTTTCACTTTTGATTGGCTGTTGGAAGAACCATTTGAATTGTGATTGGTCAATTCTGCTTGCTGGTCCGGTACCGCATCCACGCTCACATAGAACTCACTGCTGGCAGCCTTGGGCACCGGGGCCGATCCCAGACCAAACTTGGCGGCTAGTTTCTCCATGGTGTGACGGAAGCCCTTACCCAGGGGAGACCCCAGGCTGCCGTCCCCTGGGGATCTGAGACTCCCCTGGGGGGTGGGGGTCGTTGGGGAGGTTCGCTCCACCTGGCGGAGCTTGACTTTGATTGTTGGCAAGGGTGGGTGTCTTTAACGGGAGAAATAAAAAAGAATATGAGACTTAAATCTACGACAACGGAAATAATTCTAGTAATTGTTGAGAATTAAGACAATGTTCTCTAAAATACATTGTCCTCAGTTGGAGCCTTTATAGCTGACATTTATGGACTTGAAAGCATGCAGATGGTTACGAATGATATGCCACTTCTCAATCCTTAACCACTTCGAGCTGGGATTATTTTTGCCGAAAATTTCGATTTTCGCAAAGGGCAAACTTTTCCAGACAAATTCTGATATACAGCCAAACGCCACAAATACTGATTTGCAAGAGTAATTTCAACAGGATTTGTACAACATTTTTTGCCGAAACCTTTAATGGTTCAATACTCCGAGGTGTGCACTGAGCGTAAATTGTACAACAATAGGCCGTGCACAATGGCCTCCAAAGACTTCACGGACTTTGTGTGTGTGCACGAAAGGCACAAGGGATTAGCATGTTTAGACGTCACCCGGAGGCAAGTCGAGGCAATCTTGACGTTTTAACCCGTCAGTCGTGCCTGTGTATAAAAACAGCCAGTGCATATTATCACGTCCTCCGACGCAAACCGGTTAAAAAAAACCCCAGGAGCATCAACTTCAGGTATTCCAGCTGAATTGAGCAAAATCTTAATAATTCACCAATTCATTCTCCCATGGTAGGACAACTGATTAGCCAAAAAATAACTGTTTTAATTGCAAAATGAGCACTTCAATATTAACCCGTTAGTCCTTGCACAAACCCAAACAACCCTGCTTGTTAACCAAGTACCCTCTGAATCCCCAACACTGTATGGTTTTAATGGATTGAACAAGCAAGAAATACAATGAAATACAATGTAATACAATATAATACAATGTGATACAATGTAATACAATGTAGTACAATATATTACAATGTAGTACAATGTAATACAATGTAGTACAATGTAATACAATGAAATACAATATAGTACAATGTAATACAATGTAATGCAATGTAACACAATGTAACACAATGTAACACAATGTAACACAATGTAATACAATGTAATACAATGTAATACAATGTAATGCAATGTAATACAATGTAGCACAATGTAATACAGGTGCTACTGGGCTAAACACAAGGTACACAAGATGAACATAATTCACAATAGCAAAAAAAACTCTAAAGTTCTACCCACCTTCCTTCCAACAGCTCAATCCGCCTGACATACACGACCTCCACCACACCCAGACTAGTCTCCAGACCAGCCGCTGATTTTGTCCGGAAGGTCTGGTCCAGTTTCCAGACGGTTGGTACTTCAACGGTGAAGGCGCCCTCCTGTGATGAAATCTGAGCATACTTCTGGAGGTTGCCGTGGAGATTGGAAGGCTTGATTCTCACCTTGTCAAAAGAATTGGAAAAAAAACACCAAAACCACTTCACTTTTTGGACTCCAAAGAACGGACTATTCTTGATTTGGCCATCAGCCCCGCCCACCTTAAGTTGGTGAAGTATGTGTACATTTCTCAAGGTGTTTTCAACCGAGTTTTACCAAACTACTACGAGTCTTCCCCCCCAGCCTTCTCTCCCCACCCTTCTAACCCGACCCCCAGCCACCAAGGAATCGTGAGCTCACCACATCAGCTCTACCAAAGATGAACTGCGCAGCCAGCCTGCTTTGGTTCTCAGCTACCGATGGACAGGCTTCACACAGCAACCCCAGGGCCACCTGTCAATGCCCCCTTCCCCACCCTCCACTCCCCCTCCCCCCAGCCACCAAGGAATCATGAACTCACCACATCAGCTCTACCAAAGATGAACTGCGCAGCCAGCCTGCTTTGGTTCTCAGCTACCGATGGACAGGCTTCATACAGCAACCCCAGGGCCACCTGTCAATGCCCCCTTCCCCACCCTCCACTCCCCCTACCCCCCAGCCACCAAGGAATCATGAGCTCACCACATCAGCTCTACCAAAGATGAACTGCGCAGCCAGCCTGCTTTGGTTCTCAGCTACCGATGGACAGGCTTCATACAGCAACCCCAGGGCCACCTGTCAATGCCCCCTTCCCCACCCTCCACTCCCCCTACCCCCCAGCCACCAAGGAACCATGAACCCACCACATCAGCTCTACCAAAGATGAACTGCGCAGCCAGCCTGCTTTGGTTCTCAGCCACCGATGGACAGGCTTCACACAGCAACGCCAGGGCCACCTGTTCCCTGTTGACGCCAACACCGAGTTGCTTGGATGTTTCCTTCACTAACTTCTCAACTGCTTGCTGCAAGAAAGCGAGAGAGAGAGAACATCTGACCACGGGCAAAGGTGCCATTAGGGGAGAATGTCAAATAAAGCAGGAAGTTTACCTCAAGGTTTAACGAGGTTCCGCTGGATTCTCCCCCAAGTCCCGCCTGTTAAATTGTGCATTGTTCCTTTGGGGAGTTAGCCTGGTTAAGTAGTTATGTCTTCACTTTCAATTTCTGGTGCCGTAGTTTGAATCTAAACCGGTTTTAATCAGTAATTTAGTCTGGCATAGACAATTTTTTTTCATTGTGGATCTAGGATCGTACGGTGATACGGTGGTAGTTTCTTCACCCTTAATCACTATGGCTGTGTTCAAATCCACAACGTTTTCACTGGTTGGTGCAGTGGTATAAATCCCTCATCTCAATGGCCAAGGTTCAAATCATATAATTTCTTAGTTTTTAAGGAGTAGACATGATTCTTGACTTTGTAGCAGAGCTTTAATCAAAATGATTTGAAAAAGGATGGGAATGCTTACAACAATTGACAATGTGATGGTTTTCATAGTAGGCTCATTTTGAAAACAGGTATTCACGTAATTTTTGGTTTGGTTTCTCTCTTTTGGGATTTTAAAAACACCCCAAACATACTGGAACATTAACAGTAACATCACCCACCAGTTTTGACTTGAAGTTCTCCTCCTGATTCTGCGACGTGTGACACGGGGACCCCTCGACCTGCAAGGACACGTCCCGGAGATCCGTCTGCAACACCGCCCTCAGCTCCTCGGCGCTCAGTCGCTGCTGCTGCTGTGGCTGGTGGCTCCGTTCCCCCGGCATGGCATGGTGTAGGAGCTTGTTGTTTGACTGGCTGTCGAGGAGCTCGGTGGCCTCCGCGATGCTACAGCAGCCGTGCAGGAGGAGGGAGGTGCATTGCTGTTGGAGGTGGAAGCCGCCGGTTAGGGTGTGCTCCGATCGCGGAAGCTCAGACAACGCTTGCTTGTATACCTGCACACAAACATTGTAAAGAATGAGTTTGAACCCAATCCCTCCAAGAGCTATCAAAATCAGGCAGGCAGGTTTTTGGAGGATTTTGCAGGATTGACTGAGAAAGAGCCCTCCAACTGCCCCCAGTTGGCCCCGTTCAAGGGGTCACCCCCGTTTGCATTGGACGGACAACTTAGACGGAGACCTCAGGGCACTGGGGCTGAATCTGTCAGCCGGTTGGAGACTTGCTCAGAACCGGCTGGACTGGAAACTGCGTTGTCGAGACGCTGCGCTCTTCCCGAGCATACAGAATTGATGAATGAGGAAGGTAGATCTCTGCTTCGTTTACTTTGCATAGTAGGGGCTGGAGACCTCTTGTTTGTTTAAGTTCACAGAAAGAGCGATTGGGTTCGTGCACAGAACATGATTTGGGAAGACTTGGGAAGAATCTAAGCACAAATGCTCAGAAAAATGCTCAGGAAGTTAGGGTTCAAGCAAAGACACGCTGCACAGAGGTAATGTGCTGTGATTGTTTCAATGTCGGTCTATTACAGCTTACATGGTTTCAGCAAGCATGGGCTCCAGGCACATATATCCGTTCCATTCACAAGTACCCCCTCACCAGCAAAGGAAGTACCGTTGGGGATGACCGACCGATGCCATCTTGCCTGACTGCAATTCATTTGCCGCGAAGAGTGGCCACTGCGTGTACATAGTACAAATCCCCTGGTGTACGTGCGTCACACACAAGGAACAGAGCGCGTCAACCAGCGAAATGTCCCGCCCATGGGACGTCGTTGCTAGGTAAAAGGGCGCCCTCTTTTGTCAGCGCACGGAGCCCATACCAGCTCATCAGTAAAATGTGATATTTCAGGATGGTTCTGAAATCTCAACTACGCTAGTACAGCTATTGTTGTATTTGAAGCAAATAAGTGGAAATATATTTGTAAACATGCTTTAGATCCAACATGATCCTTGATGCAAGTCTACACAAAGCCTCCTTCGGTTTGCATAAAGAACCCGCAGATGAAAACAGTAAGTTGATGTCTGATTGCAGTACCGCAATGCCACCATTACAGCCCCTTTTGTCATTCACAGGAAATCTTTACTTCTTGGGAGTGGACTGTTTCGACGGTAGGTAAGACATTGCTATCAAGTATTCAAGACTCTTCGCACAAGGAGCTCTTCAACAGTGATAATGCTGGAGATGTGAAAGACGCGCAAATGCCACTACCACTGAGAGTCCAGGATCCATGCTACAGGTTAACACTCATTCAGACGACAGTCATGCACACCCCGACTCCAAATTAGTCTAGGGGCGAGACGTTGTTCTTGTTTGATACGCGATAACTCGCCTCCGCGATAACCCGCCTCTGCGATAACCGGCCACCGCGAGAGGGCGCTATCACGACCAACCAATATCGCACACGAACCTGTCAGAACAACGTCTAGGGAAACTCTTATTGGTTGTGTAATGCGCGCGCACTTGTTTGGCCTAATATATGCAGTGCGCAATTCAAAAAAGTTATAGCAGTTCCGAAGCAAACTCTCAAATTTCTTCCAGTGCAATAAAAGATGCAGCAAGACCTTTGTGCAACTTCACTGGTCAGCTCTTTTGTTATATGTAGTATGTGTCGGACTGAAAATGGACCGTAATTGCCTGCAGTCGTCGCGCATCAGCAGTTTCCCTAGACGTTGTTCTGACAGGTTCGTGGGCGATATTGGTTGGTCGTGATAGCGCCCTCTCGCAGTGGCCGGTTATCGCGGCGGCGGGTTTTCGCGTATCAAACAAGAACAACGTCTAGCCCCTAGACCACCTCCAAATGCGTTTGACGACACCGAGCACATCTACTAGTCCTACACCAGGGTCCACAGTACTGTGTATTTCTACATGAACCTACCGATGATTGAATGTCCAACTTCTGCTTGACCTCTGACACCTTGGCATCCCCATGGTGACCTCTCGGGTGGTGCGCATCATCCAATAGCTGTTGCTCGTTGGGGGTGAGACTCACTCCTGTCCGTAGAGACTTGGTTGCCTGCAATGATAATATCAATTTATGTTTATTTATTTATTTATTTCTTATTTTATTTGGGTAGCCATTTCATTGGAATCCACTGGTCTCCAATGAGGCCCAGTGAAGAGAAGACAATGTGAAGAAATTACAGTTTTAGAGGTGGGAGGAAAGCCCCCGAAGATCATTCTGGGGAAAACCCACGGAATCAAGTAGGGACTGAAAAGCCAATCCACATATTGGCCCAGGCGGGCTTCGAACCCGGGTCACAGCGGTGGAAGGCGAGGAAAGTACCGCTACGCCTACCTGACTCCCCATAGTTATCAATATTTAGGGATTTTGCTTATGCCCTTGGCATTTTTATATTTGATAAAAACAGCTTATTACTGTCTCTTTTATGAAGTTACACGTAATACAATAAATACAACCTTAACCTAAATGTAAACCATTTTTTACAAATATGAAAAAGAGGACAATGTAATCATATAGGGCCTACCCAGAACAAAATACCTTTGATTTTGATTAACCTTTTTCTGTTGGTTTAATGACAAGTATTATTAATTTAGGGGTTTTGCATAATGTGCCCTTAGCTTTAATCAGTTTAATTAAAAAAATTTATTACTGTGACTCTCATATGATATTACTTGTACACAATAAATAAAACCATAAACCTACATTGTGTAAATGTAATAGATTTTCTAAATGCTACATGTATGCCCAACAAATTCATTTGATAATGCTTTCGTTTCAAGAAATAAAAATGAAATAGTACAAGGAAATTGTTTGTACATTGTACAAAATAATGACAACATTATGTACATCCTACGTTATTGTGTACTGTCCTGGAAATGGGCATTTCTCCCAATGAGTGCTAAGCAAGTTCATACCTGTTTACCCAATAATTTCAATAATTAACATAAAACTGCAAAATCACAATTCCAGCAATTGTTGGTCGTCGCTTTTGTCACTACATTTCCCACAACGAGACACAACCTCAAGCTTCCATGCCTACTTATTAAAGCCAGAGTCCATCATTTGCAGCTATCCAAAAAATAACAGGCGTATTTATTGTTGAAAAAAATACTTGATTGAAAGATAGTAAGGAGACTAAACTCCCTGTGAAATTATTCTTTCTGGCATGCTGTCATTTTGAAGTTATCAACGAAAGAAGGCCTTTCCAACGGTGCGTCTTAGGAAGCACCGTTGGAAATTTCCGTTAGTACATGTAGTCCGTTTTTTTCAAAAGGCGAAGTGCGTGCAAGCGTTGGCACGACGCACATGCGGTTGCTATAATTCGTCAGATCGGTGCGCGACATCGCGTAGCTGCAATCGGCTCAGTGAGATCGCGTCTTGGACGCTGAATTCAGGCCCAATTCAAACTATGAGTCAGCAACTTTTGATTTGAAACCGAGATCCTAGAATGATGTTTTTCTCGAAACATACAGCTGAAGCTGAGCTGAAACTTCATCAGGTAAGCTGTTCAGCACCCTTCTTTAGAATTTGAGCACTATTGTTGCTTCAAACGAACAAAAATGCACAAATTACAAATGATGGACTATGCCTTTAAATCTGTTATTCTCCTTACTCCATAAATGCACCTGGCTTAAAAAGTACAGGTTGCTCATATTTATCCCCACTGATCAATATCTCCATCCATCAAGTCATCTGCCCATCTTCTCCCTAATCAGTGACACTGGATCCCTAAAGAATCATTATTTTTTCTTGTCGCTGTCTCGCCCGCAAAAAAAATAATAATTGTAATAACAGGGATGATCTTGGGCTGATATTAAAGAGGAGTCGTAAAGGTTCTCATGTTTCGTACTTTTATTGTCAACCTTAACTCCCTGCATTTTTGCTACGATGTAGCCTCAATCCTGCAAAATCCTCTAGTTGGCCTCATGGAAAAATAGCATATAGCCTATATCCTGCAAATTCCTCCATTATTTCTTGAATATGGTCCATGGAGGGGTGACCACTGCCTGAATCGTGCAACATCCTCCGGCTATGACTGTCAATACGTCGAGGCAGAGGCAGTGACATCTTGGAGCAGTGCGGAGGATTTCAAGTAAAATCAAGGACTAAATTTATGCACGGCTGAGCATAAACAACACAAGGTCCGGCCCAAGACCTTGACACAGTGCGTACTCCGAAATCGGCAACGCACTTTTGCCATGTAACCTCAATCCTGCAAATTCCTCCAATTTGCAAAAAGGATTTTGGAGGATTTGGGTTTGTTATGCCCTTTCCAGTTTCACCCCCAAAAAGGTTTGTTTTTTTCACTTGCTATTTTCCTAGCAATATTAAAGTTATTCATTTTTGAGTGCAATATCAAATGAAAAAATCCACCAACATTTACATTGTAGTTATTGAATTATTTCTTTACAGAATTTGAGTTTCTTGCGGCCGACAATAATCCGGCTCTCACAGGGCCGGTTCATTTGTGTGAAAAATAAAAGCCTCTTTTCAGAGGGATGCAGACACCCAGAATTGGCGGGGGAAAGTACTTTTTGTAAAAAAAAAAAATTAGAAATTGGAAATTTGTCAGAAAAAAAAAAAATCTTTTTAATAGCACGGGGCATGGATCTTTTAACCATTACCTCTGAACAGAGTAATGTGAGCAGCAGTGATACAAAAATGTATGTGCTAATATTACATTGTGAGCAGTACATGCACCGGTAGTCATGCTATGCTTAATTTCCGAAAAATAAACCACATAAAATCTCAATAATTCATGCAAGAAGTGTTATACTGTAGATCCCAGTGAATACAATCTTGAATGAACAAGGTACTTTAGTCTGTGATAGAAATCACTAATCATGAAAAAAAAAAATCTGAAATAGCTCTAAACAAATCATAAAAACACGAATGATAATGATTACAAAAATTACAATTAATGCAAAGTTACTCGCAATAAACCTTTTCGATTTTTTTTTATTTTATAAAAATCATAACAATTATGCAAATGTATTCACAACAAACCCCTCTTACCATCGATAGTATAGATAACACAAAGATTGATAAAGACTGGTAAATTGCATGCAAATTTACTCGTATTACACCGCCCTCTACTGACCTGCGAGGCCGCGATCCACGTACTGCAGGCCTCTCGGATTCCGTCGTCCTCGCATCGCTCCCCGATCAATACGTCTTCCACCTCCTCGTAGCGGCCCAAGGGTGCGAAAACATCGGTCGCTGACCGGAAGAAGTGGCACTGGGTCTGCAGCATCAGGAGGAAACATCTGGCCAGGACCTGAGAGATTGAGAGAGAGAGACGAGAGACAGTCTTAAAGATGAGGCTAGACACATCAATCTGTCTAAAAGCCAATTCATTCTTGGTGCAAATTTGAACATGAACATCAGCACCAGCGTGACCGTAAGGTCAGAGCCAAATTCTGCTAAATGCACATCAAAAATCTGTCAGATTTATCAAAAATCTGCCAAATTCCCCAGAATTACTCGAAATACTCTATAAACACTTAAAATCACATGCAGATTGGTACTTTTGCCTTAATTAAGGTTCAAATTACATTATAAACAATCTATAGTCTCATAAAGATGTTGTGAAATTATCGCGTAAATTTCGGCAAAACGCGGATCCGGCCACGACGAAGTTCGTTTCCCAGTGAACCTCAGCACCTACGGTAGACCAGCCAACCTGGTCTACAAAAGGATTGAAGCTTTTTTAAACAATTATATCATTTTTTGTTCAAATTTGCTGTTTTTCTGTCAAATAACCATTTTTTGCAGAATTCTGCCAGAAATCCATTCTGTTAAATTTTCTGTCAAACTCATTTTTTAACAAAAATTCTGTCAAAGTTAGCCGAAAATCTGCTAAAACGGTTACCCTGATCAGCACTAATCTGTGACGCCACGGCAAGTATATTCACATCTCAAATTTTAAAAAGTTGAAAATGTTTCAACTCTGGAAAATCTTTGCAGCAAATGTTGAAGTCAAATTTCCTCTGCTTTGCATTTGTGTGAGCAGGCATTAAGAACTATCTTTTTTATCTGCATCCAGTAAGGTCACTTGGAGGTAATGATAAATTTCCAGCTGTAGAATTTATTTTAAGATACTCAGAAACCCTCAATTGTTTTCACACAAGGTAAAAAACTGAAAAGGTTACAGTGGTCTCCAACATCATTATACATTTTCACATGATGTCCAGTAAAAGTTATCAGATATTCTTCTCGACAAATCAACCAACAAAATGGCCCTTCTGTGCAAACCTCAAAAGAAAATCAAGATATAAGGCCTAGATTTAGGATCCCGTGTGCACAAAATCCATCCCCAGAATCCAAATCCAAGAATCAAGGGCAAAACGAAATGGCAAAACTCATACAATCTTTCAATTCATGGCCTTCAAATCGCGAGTGCTGGATTATCTCATCATTTTATATACCCTTCTAGGTCAGGATTTTTTTCCCCAAACAAGATCGGACAATATCAAAAGAGGGCGCACTCTTTACCGGTACGTTATGCATATTCATGAAGTCCAGGGCTTTACAGAATAAGTTAAGGCATAATGGTGTTTAAATCACTGACAATTGGCAGCTGATTCGTGGACTGGTTGGAAGTAGTCCTGACTTCTAATCAGGTGATTTGAGTTCGAATCTCAGTGAGTGTTTTTCACTTCTTCTCATTTTACTTTTTAATTAATTAAAGTGAGGAAGGAACATTTCTCAAAAGACATAAAGCCTATCTCGGGTTTGTGTTGTGGAGAAACAAGTCATTAGGTATGCATGTAATGGACCAATCAGAGTGGTCACGCTGCTTGCCACATAAACTTGCTAAGCCGTATTTTCTGTTAACTACATGTACATGTAGCTCCATAACATTGGGCCTACGGGTATGTATGATCCAATTTCATGACTCTGCTTAGTGTTAATGGAAATTTCCTGCTTACTGTAAAATTCTGTGCTTACAGTTTGCAGCGGTTAATTAATTTTGGCTTATGCACTATACATGTACATCCAGTAACTATGGATTCTATGCTTACAGGGTAAGCATCTTTTTCTGCTAGCGCTGTTACTTTGTTAGCACAGTATGGTGATCGTAAGCCCGGAATTCTGTGGCTAGCCAAGCCATGAAGTTGCGGGTCCAGGTTTAATATCTGGGTCACCTAGCGTGAAGCTACATGTATCGTTTCTGAGAAAGCACGCTCGAAGCCTGACCCAACTGATCACGAAGTAATTAAATCAAGATGGATGGGGCTTCTCGGAATCCGATGACTCAACCCTCGACAGACGCTAAACAATAACAACAGCTGTGCATACTAATTAGATAGGACAGTTCAGAAATCTATATTCATTGCTAGCAACAAGGAAGACGACCGAAGGTGGAGAATTGAAAACTAATTGGAATGGACGTTTCTTGGAAATCATCTTCGGTCGTGATTGTCAAAGGAAAAGGAGCATCTTGTGTCTGGAAAAAAAAAATCAATGGCTACTGTTTGGGCAATCACTGCATTCACAGCTGACACTTGGGAAATAGTTTGAACACAACAGGAATGGACGAGGATAATGTGGACAAGAAACTGGCGCAAATGTGCAGTAGATATAGATTACAACAAAATTTGTCTATTCAACTATTGAAACTCCCAAGTACACATTCAATGTAATTAAAGGAAGAAAAATTAAGCTTAATCGAACAAAATGCAAAAATTGTAAAAAAAAATTCAACAACACCCCCTTCCTTAAAAAACCAAAACAGTCGGATGGTCAAGGACTTGTAAACACTAAAATTCCATGTAATGTTTGATTCCCATTATTTTCCTTGTAAACATGCATGGCTTTCTGTTTATCTGCATTTTGCCAGGTACTATTTGATATGATATGCAATATTATTCCTAGTATAGTATAAGCACTTGTAGTTGAGTTGGTAAAGGAGTAATCAGGTTTTGTTCACATTTTAAGAATGGAAGTAAGCACACCTTCGAAAGTATGGAGTGCCTAAGAGGGTAAATTCATTCCAAGAACTCTTATTAAATGAAGGGAAAGTACATCATTGGCTTTTGCTGTAATTTTGAACTGTTTGCGGGATTACTATAATAGATCAAATATTGTTACACTGACATGGTTGAAGTTTTGTGTTCGAAAATGCTGGAAAAACCAAGAAAAACAAAAATGCTCAAGTAGTCTGGTTCCCTGACTCCAGTAAAGATAAAATGGATCAATTAATAGATGCCGGACAATTGTAAGGTAAGGGAACCAGTCTAGCTGGCCTGCACCCGTTCATGTATATATGTAACCAATAGCAAACAACATTTTGACTGAAAAAAAATTGTAACTTTGGAGCAGTAGTTGAAAAATAGTTAGGTTTTTCCAAGGGTGGTCGGCCGACCACCGTTGGAAATGTATACAAAAATACCATTTTCTTGAAAACGACTTCACACCAGGTGCTATAATTTGCTTCAGACTGTCATTTACCAACATCCTAGTAAGGTATTTCATAAAAACTTGGTAGTTTTGTTTTTCGAATGTTTGCAAATGTTGTATATTCCCTTTAAGAATGGAAGTAAGCACACCTTCAGAAGTACGGAGTGCCCAAGAGGATAAATTCATTCCAAGAGCTCTATTAAGTAAATTAAGCTGGGGGAATTTCAAGTTTTCTTAATGGAAAGTCAACAGCCCTACAAACCTATGAAGAGCAACAGTGGTGTGCCAGAGTGCGAGTGTGAAAGGTTTGTGTGTGGGTGGGGACCGGGAAGCAAATTTTCACCGAGACAGCGCAGCAAGTGCATGCACTTACTGTAGCTGAACTGACTAGCATACATATGTACATGTTCATGTACATGTTCAATGGTCCTTTCAACCTTTTAATGCATACTCGGCCCCCTGACCTACTGTACATGTACATGTGAAGGTAAAAAAAATATTGTTTCTGGTACATGAACACCCATTAAAAGCATTGTACTTCTGGTAAATACAAGTGCACACATGATCTGATGCACCGTGCCCTCTGGAGACATGCACACAATAGGGAACAAAAGATTGTATACATGTACGTCTCCACAGGGCAATTTCTATAGATGAATACGTCTCCACAAGGTTTTTACGAAATAGATATGGATTTTACTGAAAAACTAGGAATTTCCAGGTATGTTGTTGAGTCGCAAATGGTAGAGTTTTATAAAAGGGATATTAAGTCCGAATTTCAGCCAAGGAAATTAATTCTGGTTATAATAAGAGCATTTTGAAACTGTACTTTCAAACTCGAAAACTTGAGTACACGAGAACAAAGAAATGTCTCCACAAGGATACAAATTTCAGTGTGTCTGCGAACACATCAGCTGTTCGGTGTTGGCCTAAATAAATTTACAAAGAGTATTTCCATTTAGAAGTTGAACAAAGTAATTGATTGGAGCGGGGTTTAAACCTGCGACCTCCATACTATCCAGTGCTCTACACACTGAGCTATCCAGCTCTATATGTTGGCGAGTTGTCCAATTTGTCACTGTCTTTGCTCGAGGGACGCTAGTCAGAAGCCACAAAGAATATTTTTGAAGCTTGGGCTTCACCTCTGGCCCAAAATCTACATGTACATGTATGAAAAGTAATAATGACTACAATTACTGACTTCAAAGTCCTTGGAAACCAGGGGCCAACTTTATGGTGCTGCTAAATAAATATCTGCTTAGTAGAAATCGGTCACCAGCCAAAATGCCATGAACTGTTGACTGCTTACGACTGGTTCTCGGTGGATTTTTACTTAAAACATAAAATCTGCTAAGCAGTATAATTTCCAATTTGCCCTCCATGAAATTGGAGTGCGAATTTTGACAGATTTGGAAGAGAAGAATTTTGCTAACTCTATTTCATCATTTAAAAAAAAAATATATTCCCCATCATTTGTTACCAATACTACATATTTTATGAAATTATTATGACACATTTTTTTAAAATTGGAGTGCAAAGTCTGACATGTGGACTGAGAAGAAACTTTTTGCAATAAGAAAGTTTCTTGTTTTTCTTTTTCTTTTAAAATATCCCCATCATTTGATACTGCAGATTTCATTAAAGGCATTGGCTTTTGCTGTCATTTTCAAAAATGAAATATTTGAGGGGCTAGTATAATAGATCAAATATTGGTACACTGACATGTTTGAAGTTTTGTGTTCGAAAATGCTGGAAAAACCAAGAAAAACAAAACTGTTCAAGTAGTCTGGTTCCCTGACTCCACTAAATATAAAATGGATGAATTTTCAGATCGATGCCGGAAAATTGTTAGATAAGAGTACCAGTCTAGCTGGC